CTCCCAGTGCCTGGAATGCTGTCCCCTCCATTCCTGCATGTCTTACTCCTCGCCAAAATGTCACTGACACCTTCTGTAACTGTCCCGTTTTAAATGGTTAGCAGCCCCCGTTCTGCAGTCTGTTTCCAGTCCCTAGGTTTCTTCTATATCACTTTATTACCATCTGACATTCTGTACTTGTTCATTCATTTTACACCCCCTTTTCCCTATGAGAATGTAAACTCCTTGAGGGCAGAGATTTTTGTCTGTTTTTTTTTTTTTTTTTTTTCTTCTAATTTTATATCTCCAGCACTTAAAACAGTGCAAATGTTATGTTGGGCCTCAGTAAATAGGCTGAATTAATGAATAAGTGAATGGAAGATAGATGCAAATAAATTATTCAGAATGAAATCTAGAGAGACAATGGGACAATTAATATTAAAGAGAACTTAAGATACCTGGAGAATAGAGTGAGAATGTCTAATATGTCTAATTGGAGTTCTAAAATAATAGAATAGGGAAGAAGCAGTATTGATTTCTGCAGATCAGTATGAAGAAGATAACTTAACAGAAAAGTGAATCAAAGATATAAATAGACATTTTACACAAGAAGAAATATAAATGTCTTGTAAAACATATGAACGTTGTACCTTATTCGTGCAAATAAGAAAAAAGATAACTTTTCATGCTAAATAGATTGGCAAAAATTAAAGCATTGATTAATGTTAAATATTACTGAGGATATGGGCTGGCACAGTGGCTCACACGTATAATCCCAGCACTTTGGGAGGCCGAGGCAGGCTAATCACTGGAGGCCAGGAGTTTGAGACCAGCCTGGCCAACATGGTGAAACTCATGTCTACTAAAAATACAAAAATTAGCTGAGCATGGTGGCATGTGCCTGTAGTCCCAGCTACTCGGAAGGCTGAGGCACGAGAATCACTTGAACCCAGGAAGTGGAGGTTGCAGTGAGCCAAGACTGAGACCCTGCACTCTTGCTTGGGGTGACAAAGGGAGACTCTGTCTCAAAAAAAAAAAAAATTGTGAGGATATGGCTCAACAGTAACTCCCATTCATTGTTGGGGGGCTGGTAAATTGGTACAACTGTTTTGGAAATCATTTTGCCATTTCCTGAAAAAGCTGAACATATACTTACAGCAGTTTCATTCCTAAGCATATAACCTGGAGAAACTCTTTTTTTTTTTTTCTTTTGAGACAAGGTCTGGCTCTTTTCCCCAGGCTGGAGTGCAGTGGTGTGATTTTGGGTCACTGCAACCTCGATCCCCTGGGTTCAGGTAATCCTCCCACCTCAGCCTCTTGAGTAGCTGTGACTACAGATGCTCACCATCAGACCCGGCTAATTTTCGTAATTTTATAGAGACAGGATTTCGCCATGTTGCCCAGGCTGGTCTCAGTTCTCCTGTGTCCACCTCCCAAAGTGCTAAGATTACAGGTGTGAGTCATTGTGCCTGGCCCAACCTGGAGAAACTCTTGCATGTGTTTTTATGTGTCCAAAACCGTTTGTGTAGCAATGTTCTTTAGCCAAATCTGAAAACAATCTAAATATGGATTGTGGTAATTTTCTATTGCTGTTGTGACAAATTGCCACAAATATAATGACTTAAAACAACATAAATTTATTATGCTGTGGTTCTGGGGGCCAGAATTCTGAAAATGGGATTTACAGGGTTAAAATCAAGATGTCAGCAAGGTTGCATTTCCTTCTGGAGGCTCCTTTTCAAGCTTCTAGATATTGTTGTGATTTTTGGCTTATGGCCTCTTTATTCCTTCGTCTTCAGAGCCAGCAGTATGGCATTTTCCAGTTCCTCTCTAACTCTGGCACTCCCGCCTTCCTCTCTCATGAAGAACTTTGGAACTACACTCGTTTCACCTGAATAATCCACTATAGTCTTCCCATCTCAAGATCCTTAAATTCATCTCATCTTTCAAGTCCCCTTTGCCATGTAAAAATAATATATTTGCATATTTCAGGAATTAGGGACATCTTGGGGGTGGGGCATTCTGTCTACTGTATGCATCAAGAGTAGAATGGAGAAATTATGATATTCTAATAAAATGTAACACTTGCAACAGGGAAAATGAATGAGGTACTACAGACTTCATCATCAGAGATGCCATAATAAAGTGTTAGCCAAAGAGGCACATCCCAGAAAAATTCACACATTAGATTCCATTAACATTAAAGTTCAGAAACGGGGGCCGAAAACCTCAAGCATATTGTTTAGGGATGCATTACCAGAAAAGGAAAAGTTGATAACAAAAATAAGATTTATTTCTACCTTTACGGAGAGGGAGGTAGATGTAATTAAAGAGGAGCTTAAAGGATACTGGCACTATTTATTTCTATTTTTTATTTTTTTCCTAAGATTCAGGGGGTACTTGTGCAGGTTTGTTATATGGGTATAGGGAATTTTTCAGCTCTTGTCCCCCTCCCTCCTCACCTTTTGGGGTCCCCAGTGTTGTTTCCTTCCTTGTGTTCGTGTATACTCACTGTTCGCTCCCACTTATAAGCGAGAACATGCAGTATTTGATTTTCTGCTTTTGCATTAATTCACTTAGGGTAATGGCCTCCAGCTGCATCCATGTTGCGGCAAAGGACATGATTTCTTTTTTTTTAATGGCTACTTGGTATTCCGTGGTGTACATGGACCACATTTTCTTTATTCCATCCACCGTTGATGGGCACTTGCCTACATGATGATTGCATGACTTCACTACTATGAATAGTGCAATGATAAACATTCAAGTGCAGGTGTCTTTTTGATATAATGATATCCTTTGGGTAGATACCCGGTAGTGGGATTGCCGGGTCAAATGATGGTTTCTACTTTTAGTTCTTTGATAAATCTCCATATTGTTTTTCATAGGTGTTGAACTAATTTACAGTCCCACTAACAGTATATAAGCATTCCCTTTTTTCCACATCCTTGCCAACATCTGCTTTTCTGTTTTACTTTTTAATATGATACTGGCAGTATTTAGAAGCTTTTAGTGATACACAGGTTTCTGTCTCAGTAGTCTTTTAAAGGTTATAAATATGTACATGTCAACTTTGTGAACCCATCCCCTACCACAATTAAAATGTTTTAAAGAAGTAAAATATGGTGCTTTATAAAGTCAACAATTTAAGAAAAATTTATAAGAAATAAAAAAACTCAAGCGTATTGTTTAGGGATGCATTACCAGAAAAATAAAAATTGATAACAAAAATGATTTATTTCTGCCTTTAGGGAAAGGGAGATAGATGTAATTAAAGAGGAGCTTAAAGGATACTGGCAGTATTTTTACTTCGTTATTTAATTATATATATATATAATTATATGTATATATTATATATATATCAGTAGATAAAATATTTTTAAAACCTAGAGAGCTTTTTGGTTTGTATTTTTTTCCTGTTTGGGGGCTAGCATTTGAAGTCTTTACAAACATATTTCAGACTGCGGGGGAGCGGAAAGAAAAAAATAGAACTCGCTGTCTTGTAAGTAGTAAGTGAGAGCAATGGAATGAAATTTGGGAGTTAGTGATAGGATCCTAGTGAGTCGGACAGCAAAATAAATATAACTCTAGAGCCAAAATTCTGATAATGATCACTTATCTCAAGATAATATAGCCCTAACTCTGTTGAAGGGAGTCTGGGGACACATTTATATTCCTAGGGAGGGAGAATGAGAATGAAACAGCTTGCAAGGACCGGTTTCCATTTTCTGACCATTACTTGCATATATTCCTCCTATGGACCATATAAATAACCTTTAACAGGCTGAGACCCATTTTTTGTTTTTTGAAAATTTTAGTCGTAAGTTCATATGCAGTTGCAAGAAATAACACTGAAATCCCATATACTCTTTATCTGTTTATCCCAGTGGTAACATCCTGTAAACATGTAGTTCAGTGTTATAACTGGGACATTGACAGTGATAGAATCTACTGATCTTACTCAGATTCTCCCAGTTTTACTTGTTTTGTTTGTGTGTGTATGTATTAGTGCCAGACAATCTTATCACATACATAGGTTCATGTATTCACCATCACAGTCAAAATACTGAACAGTTTCATCACCACAGATATTCCTCCTGTTGCCCTTTTACAACCACACTATTTCCTTCCTACCCTACCTATCCCACCTTCCATCCCCTACCCCAGTCCCTAATCCCTGGCAACAAATAATATGCTTTGCATTTCTAAATTTTTTTCATTTAAAAAGTGTTCTGCAAATGGAATCATATAGCGTGTAACCTTTTGGCTTGCTTTTTCATTCAGGATAATTCCTGGAAGATAAATCCAGATTGTGCATATCAGTCAATGAGTTCCATTTTTAATTTAGCCAAAGATTGTTTTATGGAATTTTGGGACTCTAAATTCACTTCGGAAATACCAATTTCTCTTCTTGGATTAGCAAATAATCTTTGAATAGTGGATAAGATCATAAAGTCTGATAGATTGGGAATAAGTTCCATTTCTACTCTGGAAAAATTACTATAAGGCTGCTAAACCTTAATTTCCTTATATGTAATATGAAGATTATAATACCTCATTCATGGAATACTTTTGAAGAGGAAATGAGATAATATAAAGCTCTTAATACTCTGCCTATCATGTAAGCGTTCCATAAATGGCCGCCTAAAGGAAAGATAAAAAACATGGGTTACTACAGCAATATTATTACAGTCTGTAACTTCTAGGTTAGGTTGGGAAGATATTGCCTTCATATTCCAGTGGCCACTTGGATTTCATACATGTTTTAAGTAGAGGAAGGAGAATTCAATAATCTTCAAGTGCTAAAGAAAAATGTTCTTCCAAATGGGTATAGCTGATCTTTCTATTGTTTTTTTATTTCATTGGCCACAGTAAAAAGTAAATTGACTGCTTTAATATTATATCTTAATCAGCAAGTACTGGCTAATTTGAACGAATAAATTACATTTTTATATAATAGTGTAGATTTGATAAGGTTGAAACATCAGTAGTTTACATATTTTAAATTATATAAATTCTAGGTCACTGGAGTTCTGGATGATTGCTTGTGTGACATTGACAGCATCGATAACTTCAATACCTACAAAATCTTCCCCAAAATAAAAAAATTGCAAGAGAGAGACTATTTTCGTTATTACAAGGTAAGGTTTTAATTTTGTATTCTGTTGATATCAAAGGTTTATATGTGACCTTTATGATCCCTTTGGAAATCCATTTCAGTTCCTCTCAGCACCCTGTGTTTATCAATTTCATCATTGAATTTATTGTGTATCGTAGTGAAAACTTATCGATCTTTTTAAACAGTACAAATCTTAGCCCCCTTCCTTTGTACGGGGAGTTCCTCATTTTTCAGTTTTGGTTTTGAGGCAGAGACTCCTGTCTCTACAGAAGCTGAAAATGCCACAGACTTATTTTGTCAGCCTCTCTTATAATATAGTTCTGCCATCTGGACACACCTACTCAGGCTTTGGGTTGTTCTGATGGCAGTGTGCTAGCATTGTTAGCAGCGCACAGTACCGCAGCGGCATCTTTGTTGGACCTCTTTCTGAAAGGGCTGGCAAAACAGGCTGAGACTTCAGGTAGACCACTACCAATAGTAACGCTCCAGAATTGGTTCTTAAATCTAATAATAGTCTACTCTAGACCTTTACAAAATAACCAGTGATAGTTTAAAGGCAGCAGCAATCTTTAAATATAGCAGTAAGGCAATATTCAAAAGAACAGTGTTTTAAATTTTAGAACAACATTTTATTTTGTTTTATTTTACTTTGTTTTATTTTTTATTCTTATTATTATTTTTGAGACGAGGTCTCACTCTGTCGCCCAGGCTGTAGTGCAGTGGCACAATCTCAGCTCACTGCAACCTCCACCTCCTGGCTTCAAGCAATTCCTTCTGCCTCAGCATTCTGAGTAGCTGGGATTACAGGCGCGCGCCACCACACGCAGCTAGTTTTTGTATTTTTAGTAGAGACAGGATTTCGCCATATTGGCCAGGCTGATCTCAAACTCCTGACCTCAGGTGATCCACCTGCCTCGGCCTCCCAAAGTGCTGGGATTACAGATGGGAGTCACTGTGCCCGACCTAAATATATATATTTTATTATTTAATAATATATGTATGTTTTTGGTTTTGCTTTTTTTAGAGACAGAGTCTTGCCATTTTTGCCCAGGCTGATCTCGAATTCCTGGCCTCAAGGGATCAATCGATCGATCGATCTATCTATATTTTTGTTTCCTAGGCTTAGGTCAGCTAAATTAATTTTTTTTTGTTTTTTTTAGACAGAGTCTCACTCTGTCACCCAGTGCAGTGGTGCAATCTCAGTTCACTGCAACCTCCGCCTCCTGGCTTCAAGCGATTCTTCTGCTTCAGCCTTCTGAGTAGCTGGGATTACAGGCGCGCGCCACCACACCTGGCTAGTTTTTGTATTTTTAGTAGAGACAGGGTTTTGCCATATTGGCCAGTCTGGTCTCAAACTCCTGACCTCAGGTGATCCACCTGCCTCGGCCTCCCAAAGTGCAGGATTACAGGTGTGAGTCACTGTGCCCGGCCTAAATATATATATTTTATTATTTAATAATATATGTATGTTTTTGTTTTTGCTTTTTTCAGAGATAGGGTCTTGCCATGTTTGCCCGGGCTGATCTCAAATTCCTGGCCTCAAGTGATCTCTCTCTCTCTCTCTCTCTCTCTCTCTATATATATATATATATATAAATCTAGTTATATATATAATATATATGTTTATATTATATATATATTTTTTCCTAGGCTAAATTAAGTTAAATTTTTTTGTTTTTTTTTCAGACAGAGTCTCGCTCTGTCACCCAGGCTGGAGTGCAGTAGTGTGATCTCAGCTCACTGCAATCTCCGCCTCCTGGGTTTAAGCAATTCTGTCTCAGCCTCCCGAGTAGCTGGGATTACAGGCGCCCACCACCATAGAGATGAGGTTTCACCATTTTGGCTAGGCTGGTCAAATTAAATATTTTTGAGGATTAAAAAAAATCTAGTATCTTGTGCAGAAAGATAACAAATAAGAGAATTAAAGATTTTGGGACACAACTCTCTTTCTTGTCAGCACCAGGAATATCCAAAAAAGGTGATGGATGTTTCTCCTCTATACAAAATCCTTTAGGAAAGCATATTTCATGACTTTATTTCAAAGAGTAATCTATACCTAAATAAACTATTGAGTGTCTGTTACTCTAGGCATTTTATATACAAATAAGACATGTGCTGCTGCTTTTTTTTTTTCTGGAGGAGTGCACCGTTCCTGGAAGTACTGCAATACCAGGTCGATGCGTGGAGTGGATGCAGCAAGCTCCTATTCCATCTCCCTACTCCAAAAATCCATAAATATGTTGTTCTCGGATAGAGGACGTATCAGATAGTAAACTGATAAGAACAGATACTGCACTTGATCTTAGCCAAAAGGCCAAGGAGCAGTGGGAGAGGCAGGTGCTTCTTTAAATTCCCACCACTAAATCTGTAAATCCAAATGCATTTGTAGCTGCTTTCTCTTGTTTCTTTTCTACCATTACATTGAACTATGTGAAATTTTTACTTTTATATTTCAAAAATGGTTGAACGCGCCAGTGTCATATGGCTCAATGTAACACAATGGAGGAAGTGTTTCTTGTATCAAAGACCAGCTCTTCACAAGGGGTCCACTTCACATCTCTACATAATGTTATGTCCCTCACTCTTTCACTCCTTCACTTTGGGTTTGTATCTTCTGTTTCTCTATCCCTAGCAGGCTTGCTCAATGGAAGTACTCCAATATTTGAATGTTTGAATGAATATCTCATTTAATCTTCACACCAAAATTTTCTCAATATTAGCCACATTTTTCAAACAAAGAAGTAATAGTTTAGATATTCCAGGTAGGGTATTTTTGTTGGCTAACAAACAGAACAGAAGTTTTATTAAGAAAAGATGTGGAGTAGCTAACAAAATTGAAAGATAAGCTGAGGAAGCGTACTTCAGAAAAGATAAAACTAAAGCTGGAACTAATGACCATTTTCTTTAAGGAATCACTGGAATTTTGTATCAAATTAACTATTTTCCCATATTTTCCAAACTTTATGCAAGAGTTGTATTTCTGTCCAGGTAGAGTCATATGACCCATTGGACCAAAAGAAGGAAGGACAGCTTGGTTGACAGTCTCATTTGCATGAGTGAAAGTGGAGTCATTGTTTCCCAAAGGGAAATTAGGGACTGTTACCAAAGAAGGAATAATGGAAGTTAGTTAGGCAGAAATGACAATGTGGCTCTTGGCTACTCAACAAACTCTCTCATTCTTCCTCTTACACATGTGGTTTGAAAACGTTCTGATCAACACAGTGAACTTATTCCATATGCAACCAAAACATACTCATACCCTCTCACAGGGGAGGGTTAATGCTGTGATCTAGTTAATGCATTCAGCTGTAACTCTAGGATATTTGGGTGATATCTACTCCTCTTTTTGTTCTGTCAACCTATAAAAGAAAGAAAAAGGAATATACTCTACCTACAACAGTGGCAAAAAAAGTAAAGCTTTAAAAAGAAAAAGCTAAGAGAAGGGGTTAATTTAATTTATTATCATTATTATTATTATTATTATTATTATTATTATTATTATTATTTTTGAGACAGAGTCTTGCTCTGTCGCCCAGGCTGGAGTGCAGTGGTGCGATCTTGGTTCACTGCAACCTCATCCTCCCAGGTTCAAGTGATTCTTCTGCCTCAGCCTCCTGGGTAGCTGGGACTACAGGCCCGCACCACTACACCTGACTAATTTTTATATTTTCAGTAGAGACGGCATTTCACCGTGTTGACCAGGCTGGTCCACAACTCCTGACCTCAGGTGATCCACCCGCCTTGGCCTCCCAAAGTGCTGGGATTATAGGCATGAGCCACCGTGCCCAGCCAAAAAGAGGTTAATTTTAAACACATACCACGTACATACTTATGATTCAGCAAGCAAGGTGGAGGTAACAGTCCACCTTTACGCAGTTGGGCAGTTGGCTGCTATAGCTGGTGTTTCTGACTTCTCTTTTTTGCTTCTTATTCCATTCCTTTATGCACTAAATATTTATTGAATGATTAGTTTGTGTCAGGTACTATGGATACAGTAGTGGATAAGACAAAACTTTTCTGATGAGAGAGACAAACAGTAAACAAATAAACAATAAAATATAATTTCAGATGCTTATAAGGTAAGTTCTATGGAGAAAAGTAAAGTAGGAGAGAATGAATATTGGGGAATTGGAGGGTGGGAGAGGTAGGTAGCCCTATATTAAAGAAAGGTGTTTGGGAAAATAAGATATCTATGCTAATGTGACATTTGAGCAAAGTCCTACCTAATGCGAAACAGCCATCAGAGGGTTTGGGGAAAGAACATTCCAGGGAAAAGATGTAGAATACCAAGTAAATGATCTTGAGATAGGAATAAGCTTGGTGTGTTGAATGGGCAGAAAGCTGGTATAGCTGGAGGAAAGTGAATGAGAGGGAGAGGTGGAAATATAGGTAGGGACCAGGTTTAAAAAACAGTAGGACCTTATTGACCATGTAAGGATACTGGATCTTATTTTAAGCAGGATAAGAAACTACTAAAGGCATTTTTGTGCAAAAAAGACTGTAAGGGTAGAAGACAAGAAATAGAGGAACCATTTAGAGGAACCAATAGAGGAGACTATTGTGTTAGTTCATATAAAAACAGTACAGATTTGGGATAGAATGCTAGAGCTGAAAAATGTAGAAAATGATCAAATTAGGGTTGTACACAAAAGGTAACACTAGCAAGCTTTTCTGATGGATTGAGTGTGAAGTATGATGATAGAAATGAATCAAGGATGATGCCTAAGTTTTGAGTGCACATGTACAAGTGCAAATATACATATATGTAAAATCATGACCAAATAGATTTTATTCCAAGAATGCAAGGATGATTCTTGCATTGATGTTGATCAACAAAATTCAATATGTGCTCCTGATTTTTAAAATAATAAGAATGATGTATATTTCTTAATATGATGATTTCAGTCCTAACATCAGCGTACCTAACATGTCTTGCATATGGGGAAACACTAGAGGAATTCTCAGTTAGGTCAACAACCAAGACAAGGATACCCACTATCTCCGTTAACTGTTGGATATACC